TAGCTATTATTAATATTGTTTTTTATTAATATTATTATTAATATTATTTATATTATTCATTTCAATTTTTTTTAACACAGATATTAAATATAATAAAATTCTTTTTATTCTACATATATACATAATACTTTCATGAACAATTTACAATATTAAAAATTAAGAAAAAAAATACCGTAGATATAAGCAGATGTGTGGAGCCCTGTTTTGCTGATTGTAGGCACGATATCTCAAGATTTACTTAACCGATTTGTTTGAAATTTATAACAGTTACAATTCATAAGATTATTTTAGTTTTCATCGGACCGTTTTTTGATTTTGCATCTTGTTCAAAAGTTATTAATTTTTCTAACTCAAAATTTCAAGAAAAATTTGAAATATTTTTTCAAACAGCTGCTATTACTAGAAAAAATTTAAAAAATATTTTCTTGCGATGTATACTAAGCCATTACTTCTCTTATTAGTAAACAATTATTGTTTTTTTTTTTTCAGAACATTTGTTAAACCGAAATTGGCCCACCATCAGAAAAACAGGGTTCTATATATCATCTTATATTTCCTCCATTTCTTTTTTTTTCTTAATTTTTAACATGGTAAATTGTTCATAAAAGTACTAAGTATATATGTAGAATAAAGATTACTTAATTATATTTAATGTCTGTGTTAAAAAAAAAGTTAAAATTTATAGCTATTTTTCCGAGTGTCAGGATGGCGTAACCTCTTAATCTACTAACCGGGGAGTTCCCTTTTTAATTACGTAGCTCTTTTTATTATTTATTTGTTATTTTTTATATATTTATTTATTTATTATTTATTATTATTTATACTTAAAATAAATTAATAAACTATGAAATATATATAGTTTTTCGTTTATTAATATATAAAGTACAAAAGTTTGTACCTTTAGCTTTCAAGCTTTCAAGCAATAACGTTTGACGTATTTATACATTCCGCCCGGTTAACAAGTTAATTCAATGTAATTTTAACAATATTGTCAAAAATGAACTGTTAGATAGTGTTTGTTATTTCAATATTATATAAAATTCATTTAGTGTTCAAATATTTCAAAACAAGAGATATGTGACTTACAATTAGACCATTTTCATAATTATGGTCACATGTTATAAATAAATGATATACGCGCATTAAAAAAAAGTCATAATTGATATGTTGTAAACCAAATTGAATTTGCTTTAGTTATTGTATTTTATTTTTTATTTATTTTCTTTATTGTTTCCACATAGCGAAGCCGTCGAATGCAAAGGGTTAATAAAATTGAAAAAAATAAAAAAAATAAAAATAGGAAAGATAATAATATAAAAATACTAAACGTCCTCGAAGATATACGTAGGTGGAAAAAGCATCTTGCACGTGACGACAACGAAGACGACAACGACGACGACTAGAAGAAGGAGGTGCAGCCGCATATCTGCATCCGCATACGTCGCGAGACTCGCGTAGACGTAATCCGATCCCGTCGAGGACACGAGGAGGACGTTTTTCGACGGAAGATAGAGAAGGAATGAAGAGGAGGAAGAAGAATAAGAAAGAAGAAAAAAACAAGAAATAAAAAAAGGGATAAGAAGCTTTGAGAGAGACGACCGAACGTGGAATGCAGGATGCAAAGTGCAACGAGCGAGGAGAACGCGATGCAATGCCCACATGCGAAATATCTATGATCGAGTGTTGAAAGAAAAAGAAGGAGAAGAAAAGAAAAAGAAAARAAGAGAAGAGAAGAGGGCGAGGACTTTAGAAAAATGAAAAGAAAGAAAAAAGAAAGGAAAAAAAAAAAGAAAAGAAAGGAATACGAGAATCATCGTGACGTCAATGTAGAAATTTCTGCACTGTCCCGGACGAAGAACGCATCCGGTGCATCAAGAGATATATAAAATTGCGCCCCGACTATACCATTGTTGTCTCTGTCAACGTCACAACCTAATCCGCAATTGAAAAGACTTTCAATCGCGTGACCTCGATCTATGCTTCGTTGCTAATCTCAAGGTCGGGGGCTCTCTACGATTATATTATTATTATTATTATTACAATTATTAAATTCATCCTTCCGGCATTATCTCAAGAAGTACATTTAAAAAACCATCTAGCTTATCGAATACGATCATTATAGTTCTTCTCTCTTTTTGTCTTTTTTTTTTTATTATGATGATAATTTTTGTTACAATGATAATAACCAAAAGGTTTTTTTTTTATTGATCCTTCGTGTATTCCAGCCAATATTATATTCATATACGTATACATCTGTATATATGTATGTGTGTACATACGTTGTAAGAATAAATCATTGATTTGAGGATTTTATTGGTTGCCTTTAGAGTGAAATATGTTTGTATCATGGTGATACAATTGAAAGAGATATTTCATTGGAAATTTTAGCCAGACTAATTAAATTAGATGATTATTATTCGTATTCTATCGATAACGTTCAACGGAGTTACGTTACGTTTATTTTGTTTTATTTTTAAATTGTTTAAATACATACGTTTATAATATTTCTGTACGTACATGCATAAAGTGTATGTAATTTATTAAACGATTTAACGTTGATACTAATTTAATCGCATTGAAATTGTGTCGGTATTCCAATAAATATTATTATTATTATTACAATTATCTGAGATAATACGTTTTATCGTTACACCATCGAAACAATTCATTTTTCAGCTTTTATACTTAACCCATTACCAGTCAATGGCCTTTTTTTGGGACGCATTTTGAAATTTTTTTAATAACTGCAACTTCAGAATAAAATATATTCGTTAAAATCATGAGATTGTACCTCGTGCTTCATGAAAATATTAAAAATTCTCATTATTTTATTTTAAATCAATAATTATAATATTGTGGTAAATATAAAATAATTTTTATACTTAAATAAAAAGAAAACAATTGTTCTATAATAAAAAAATAATAAAAAAATAATCAAAAAATAATAAATAATAAATATAATAAAAATATCTAATAAGAAAACAAAAATAGTTTTATTTGGTTTGTATGAATATCATTACACAGTTAATTTAATTTTATTTTTTGCATTTTCGTATTGTGTTAGATAATGGGTTAATACCCTTTTTTGGTTCAGGTTAACAATTTTAAATTTTCCTTTTTCTTCAAAACGATAAAATACGATATATAATACAATATAGTTCAGGTAAACTCGATCAAAAACGTTAGGTTTTGATTTATCAAGTAGTTTCAATTCGAACGAGTTGAACGATTTATCATCGCGATAGTCTAGGGGGCCCTTTCGTTTTTTTAGATACAATAAAAAAAAAAGAGAAAAAAAAAATATAAATAACGAACGAACCTAGCTATCGCGTTGTTTACACAAGGCTTCTTTTATTTGATGTACACGTCGTGATAATAAAAACGTGTTTCTGAGTTACACTACTCTTTCTTCTCCCTCTATGCAGTATTTTTTGATTTCGTAACATGAATTGTTTCACGTTTTTAGGAGAGAAAAAGAAAAAGAGAGGGAAAGAAAAAAAAAACAACGTGATTTACGATAACACGCTTCATTCCCCCATTGTCTTTCTCAATGAATTCTTCTTTTCAATAAAAAAAAAAAAAAGGCAATAAAACTTTTCACGGAAGATACCACGAAAAAAAAAACACGAAGCAGCCCCTCTCTCTTTCTCTCTATTTTGTATTAAAAAGGGGGACTTTCATTAAAATGCAAGAGACGTTGATAAAAACTTCCGTGCGTTGTGTTGTTTCGGTGAAAAAACTCATTGCTAAATTTTTCGTCAAAACCGTTTGATCATAGACAACAAAGTAAAAGGGATAAGGGGTAAGGGGAAAAAAGAAAAAGTAAACAATGCAAAGAATAATTTGTAAGAATAATATGCAAGAAAAAGAACAAAAAAAATCGAAATTCTCTTAGCATCCTAATGGAATTTATCGATTGTTCGACAAAGTTACAGGGGATAAATTTTAAACAGCTCACTAATTAAGTTCTTTACTGTCTAACGTAACAAAAAGATGAAAAAAAAAATAAACACGTTCAAGGGATTCTTCATGATACCTGATGGGATTACGTAAAAGAAATTATTTACCGTGTCTATAGATAAAGATCCTTTAAGCTCTTCGGCATTGTGATGTAGCCAATCATCAGAAAATTATTCTATTCGTACATTTTTTAACCAATTTGTATGGAATAATTATGATCCAGTAAAATATTAATTATAGAGAACATAATAAATTACATTTTATCTAAATAAAATATGAATATACAGGGTGTCCCATATAACTGTATTCACGATTTTACAAGTACTTGTGATAATCTGACAAAAAAAAAATACTTTAAACAAAAGTTGAACTATTTTTGATTGGTTATATGTACATTGCAATCAAAAAAAGTTTGAAAAATCAGGATTAAAGGTATCTTTAATTTTTTAAATGGCGCCCTATATTTTTGACTATTATTTTTAAATATTATAGCTCATATTAATACAAATTCAACGAACTAGAATATAATGAATTGAAAAATCGTGAATACAGTTATATAGGACACCCTGAGATATGATAAATTAAATTGTATATTGTAATATAAATATTTATATATTTAATATGTTTTATATTTATACACGATTTAATTATTACAATTATTATATTTTATATTTATTATAAAATAAATTGTATAACAAATTAAATTGTATCCAAATGAGATACACAAACAAAAATTCAAATTATGTTTCTCCCAAACGTTTCTTTAAAATGTTGCATAATTTATGAAATAAGTATAACGAGTAATCTCGAATAGGAACTTTTATTGATTATCATTATATGTACGTAAGAACTTGGATATGTGCGTGTCATGTTTGCATACTACTCGAATATGAGAATACTCCGTGAAACGAGAATATGAGATTTTTGTTGAGATTTATCTTTTCCCTCCGATTCTTTCTCTTTATCTCTCTCTCTCTTTCACACACACACACACACACATTCTATTTTATTCTTTTTATTTTTATTTTTTATTTACTTACCCTGTCCTGTATCCTAACGTTCTCCTGACCTCTTTTTAGGCTAGGAGCACGCAGAACCTTGCTGGTAAGCGGTGGTTCCATCATGACGACTGATCTCTCTCTCTCTCTCTCACACTTCTTCTCTCGTCAGGATTTCATTCCTGAAGGGAAACAACACCCTCCTTTTTTTCTCTCACTTCATCTTCTGAAACAATAAAATAAACGACAGATAAATACATCTGCATCTGATCTCTTTATTATTTATCGTACGGATTTATATTTGAGTAAATTTATTACACATTTTCTTGAATATCAATTATTACAATTGTGTTATAATCCATTATTATTATTCATAAATTATGTCACAAGGTTGCAGGAAATGAATTTTCATAGATTTTAGAAATCAATTATTTAAAAATTCGATAATGAATGATAAATCATATAAATTTCCTTAAGTAATTATATAATAATTTTGTTCTGGTAATAATTCGAGAAGAAAAATTTACGATAATAAAAATGTGATTTTTTTAATTTCAGCAAAATTTTACAAACAACTAACTGGAATTTTATTCAATTAAACAGTTAAATAATTTAAAAAAAAAATGAAAAGAATACAATTGGATAGAATGAAATTAGAAAAAGACTTTCCATTAATTTTGTTGTTTAAAAAAAGTAAAAGAACTAAAGAAAAGAAAGTTGAATGAAATTTTTCTGAACAATAAGAGATAAAAGAAGGAATTAGAATTCAGCGTCGAATGAATTTGAATTGATCATGAGTACATATACATATGTATGTATGGTATGGATATCATGCATATAAGTATATATTTGATAAACGAATACATATGGAGAGAGTGAGAAGGGATCGTTACAAGCGAAAGTAAGAGTCAGCGTGTGCTTGCTGGTTGCCTTCATGTCGTGTCTTGTCGGTGGTCGATCGTGGGAGATCAAGACCTACGCGAATTCCGTGTCTCCCGAGCACCAAGCAGCTTTTCCAGTTGGCTTAAGTTAAAGAGACGACGAATGCACGATGATAACGGTATGCACGAGAGTTAACGGAAGATAATGCGTGAACAGGTACCGCAGGTTAACTCCAGTTACCTCACAGAAGAAGAGCTCGCTTACGGGACACTGATTTATTTTCTTCCTGTAATTCTTCGACTAACTTACTTTATTTTTCTTTTTTCTTATCTCGATTAAATAATATATATATATGTATAAGGATATATTTTTATCTTAAATTTGGTGCTCATTTGTCATGTATTATAATCTTTGTAATATTGAAAGGCAAACAATAAATTATTATTATTRTTATATATATACACTATTGAATACATATATTTTTTTTTAATTATTCTTTTTGTATTCCGTATTAAGTATTTATGATTTCTATAATATTACTAGGGTGCTCCGATCACATGTTGCCATGGTTTTGTTATAAAACGTTGATTTAATTAAATCGCAAACTAATTAATATAATCAAATTAATATTCGCTAAGAATTTCTGAGAATTCAAAAATTAGACATAAAACAACGTAAAATTTTTAATTTGTTTTTATATATCTCAAATAAGAATAATATGGATTTTCTAAGTATAAGCCGCAAATGGACATTGTTTGACCTTGAAACTTATTAAATGAGAAAAAAGATAGTATTACTTATACGTGTTTAAATTTATTTAAAAAGATTAATTGGGCTGCATTGAATAATTTAGTATTATATTGAATCAACGTATTATAATGAAGCCACATCACGCGTGGCCAGAGGCACCTAGTTTTGTAGTAGATTATAACAACATACAAAATAAAACCACAATTAGAGTGGAATATATAAAATAATAATACACGAAAAAATATAAAAAGCAATGTTAGTTATGTCAAATGTAACTGAAAAAATCGTATGACGTGATATATCCAAATAATTGAATTTTAATACAGCGCCATCTATCAAAAACTTACAGAACCTAGATAACCTCTAAATTAGCGGCCACCAAACTTTTTGACCTCACAGACCAGTAAATTTATAATTTAAATCTCGCGGACCACTAATAGGATTTTTTAAGTGTTAAATATATTTATAAAAAAATTATCCTATATTCTAAGTAGGAAGTAATTACACAAAATAAAAAATTTTTTATTAAGATCGGTCGAATAGTTTCAAAATTATTAGTGGACATACAATATGACACTGAATTTTTATATATATATTGATATATATGGAGCATTCCACGTCAAATCGGCCACTTTTGACTCCGACCCCTTTCGATTTGGCTGAAAGTCTTTTATCCTATTCTACTCTATGAAAAACAATTTTCACAATTTTTTCAAATTTTTTTACCAAACCCAAAAAAAATTATTAATTTTTGAAAAAAATGGCTCTTTTTTTTAAATGGCTATCACTTTTTCAAAATTCAACCTATTGGGACGTTTTTTTTTTAAATTTTGGTTTTTAAATGTACATTTCAGAAAAAAATACAAAAAAATTTTTAAATTAAAAAATCTATGCAATTTTCGCATTTTTTGAGAAAAACAGTTATTTTCTCGAAGTTCGCCATTTTTCATTTTTTTTTATTTTCTAAAAAAAAAAACTTTGACTAATTCTGCGATTATCCCCACCAGTCCTAGAGTGGGCCGAGTTAGTTTCCTATTTTTCTTATTTAATTAAAAATTAAATTTTTCAATTTTTAAAATTTAAAATGTTTTTTTTTTGAAAAACTCTTTGCTTTTTGAGACTATAAATTGAGTATATAATATTGTAAAATTGTTTAATTGTACAATTTATATATATATATATCTTTTTTTTCTTTGATTTTGATATACTGCAAAGATAAGATTAAAACATGTTATATCATAGACGCATATCATAATTTGAAGTTCTTAGTAAGACAATCGAGCGTATCAAGAAAATAAAGGGGCGTGTACCCATGTTAGTTTCGATACAGTAAGTTTCTCGGGGAAGATCGATCGGTCGAATGACATCGCGGATGGTATATCCCGTTTCACGTTCCAACGGACATTGGCCGTGAACCGCAAGAAGGAGGATGCTTGCATTCTAGGCTTCTATAGAGAAATAGATAGAGAGAGAGAGAGGAGGGGAGGGGGAAACGTATAGGAAAAGAGGAAGAAGGTAGAAGGGAGTATGGGTTACCTAAGGGGAGAGTTTGATATAGTGCAATCCATAGTACTTGATATCGATTACTTCAGACCCTATGTTATCATCCCTCTTCGATTGTTAATGCTTCCCATTCGTAGGGTAGTTCGACCAATCATCAAATTCATTTCGATTATGCTGGGATTTGTGATCACAAATTGAGCTAAAATTTTCTTCGAACAATTAATCTCGTTTCTCTCTATCTCTATCTCTCTTCGATTGAATTGATTTTGAAAAATTGTCAAAATCATAAATCTTGAAATTCTTTATCACGTTCTTTCTATTCTGAACGTATACCATTTTTGATATATTGTATGAATATATAACAGTTTTATGGCCAAAAGATATTTTTGTTATTGACAGATAAATTATAGGAAATCGAAGATCGGATATTGTAGTTGACAATCGATAAAGTTATCTTTTTATTTCTTTTTTATACTTTCAAAATTTATTCTTACGAATAAATATATTGTCAGCTTTGAAAGAATATAAAAAAAGATAACAAAAAATATATTATTCGTTTATATTCATCCAATTTTGCTTTATCGTATACCGTTATTGATATAAACGTGGCCTGACTATGACGTTTGTTCAAAATCAGCTTTAACACGAGTTGTATTAAATAAATAATAACGAAAAGAAAAACAATACAATACCATTCGAAGTATCGAATTAATAAAATATCAATAAAAGGTAAAACGCGTGTCTAATTGTAAGATCATCGTATTTACGTTTAACTTTGAAAATACAATAAAACAATAGGGAAATCCGTTGAAACGTTTGTTCTCTTAGGTTGTTGATGCATTAACCCCACATGCAGTTTGCACCTCTAATTGGTGAACACATTTGGCCGGATAACCGACGAATTCGTGAGTAGCAGTAAAGCGTTACTCGAGGGTTAAAGGGTTTCCTTCCTAGTTTTGGTCTTGGTCTTAGGTCGTTGTCGTCGAGGATTTACGAGCTGCAAAAGGGTAGGACAAGCGTGACCCATGCGATACGTTGGGAAGGATCGTTAAATTCGTTCTTAACGGACTGTTGATGAGCCTTGCCCATTAATATACATCCAATGAGAGAAGTCGCCAACGTTGCTTTATATCTTTCTCTTTATCTTCCTATTTTCTCGGTGGAAAACGATGAAGCAAGTTTGGTATCTTGCCAAGTATTTGAAAATTGAGAGAAACGAGGAATGAGAAACTCTCCCATCCAGTTGTATTCCTTCTCTTTTTCCTTGTTATTTTCATCCTTTTTCAACACGGTATATCGGATATCGTCGATTTGACGAAAGTTACCTTTTGCTATTGCCAGCTCGCGATCCAAATGTGTCTTCAGTTATGTAGGTTGCTTGTCTGTTGCAGTTCGACTTATCAATTCTTTAAAAGCTTCTTCGTTCTTATTATTACTAGTATAGAATAAGATCCTAGATGTTACAGCTATTATAGTCGAAAAACTTTTAAATCGATTAATACCTGTTCGAGCCAAATTTTTCTTATTTTTATTTACAATGGAACTGACAATCTTAAATGTTAAGGGGTAGAAGGAATTGAGGTAGAAATAAATTCTCTTATAATTGTTCTAATTATTTCAACGAAAAAATCAAGAATATTTTATTCTTATGGGAAGATTGTAATATACAATTTTTCTCATAAAAAAAGAAGAAAGTAATCGTTTATGAAAAGAAATACTTTTTATCGATTCCTGTCAACTCAAACTAGCTTTTATATATTTTGTTTTTTTCTTTTTTTTTTTCTTCTAACAATAGAAATGACAAATCTTTAGAAATGTATTTGGTTCAAGGAAAAAGAAGATTCTTATCACTGTTCTAGATATTCACTTTAGTATGCATGTATTTAGGTTAAGCTCAAATTTTCTAAATGGTTTGCAAAAATCAATATGTTTCGAAAACTTTCAAAGTTCATTTTCTTCGAATTTTTACAAATTAGATTTTTTATTTTTTTTTGTGCGTGTGTATAAATAGTTAAAATATAAGATAAACTTGTCACAGTGTGAAAAAAAGGAAATTTTAGCTCGTATCTTGAAAAAGTATGATTGATTTTT